AAGGGAGAGGAGGCGGAACAATTACGGCACGCCGTGCTGGAGGGGGAGGGCGGGTGGTGAATCAGTTGGAATGCGGGCGGCTGTATTCGCGGTCGTTGATGCGTGACTAGGGCAGGGGGCAGTCATTCGTGAACGTAGACCCTCGTAATGGGCATCTAAATCAACGTGGCGGTTGATACTACCCGCATCGGAGTACCAAGCCTCGAGAAATTCCCTCGCTCGCTTTGTGTTAGCCATGGCGACGACCTCAGTGCCATCCCAATTGAATCGGTGGTCGTACTCGAGTGCATGGGCAAAGACGAGGGACAGGGGGTCTCGCCGAAGGATAGCTAGTATGTGTTCGTTGATACGGGTGCCCAGGCATCGACCTGTATGGCCAACATACACGCAAGAGCAATTAGCACACGGGATGCGATAAATTACATTCGTTTGTTGCTCTTTGGGGAGGGGGTCCTTCACTCGAGATATTGCTGCGCGTAGTGAAGATGCCGGTTTGTGGGCAACGCGAATACCCAGGCGGCTGAGCTGCCGAGCGATTATTTCGGAAGTTCCACGCATATATGGCAAGGAGTAGAATTTTCGCGTAACAATCTCTCCGTTGGGGGTGGGGTCTTGCGACTGTGTCTGGTGCCTGAGACAGTTCTTAACAAAACTGATCGGATATCCGTTAGAGCGGAATAACCGATACAGGTGAGCAAGCTCTTTGTTCAGGAGATCGTTGTTGTTACAATAACGGTAGGCCCGGTGGAACAGAGTTCGGACGCAGCTTCTTTAGTGAGCTGCGGGGTGGTTGCTTCCATAGTTGAGGATAATCTCAGAGTTAGAGTCTTTCCTATGGACGCTCGTTGCCAGGGCACCATCGCTCAACTTCTGTATTCTCACGTCCAGAAACGGCAAGCTGTCTCCAATTGCCTCTTCGCGGGTAAACTGTATGGCTGGGAAGACGTCATTCAGTCTCTGGTGAAGACGTTCGACTTCGCACTTCTTTATTATGACAAAGGTGTCATCAACGTAACGAAGCCATAGTTTAGGCTGGATAGTTTGGAAGACTATCTCTTCTAGTCACCAATATCAGGACTTCTCGCCGAACTAGTTTTGCAGCGACTAGAAGAGATAGTCTTCCAAACTATCCAGCCTAAACTATGGCTTCGTTACGTTGATGACACCTTTGTCATAATAAAGAAGTGCGAAGTCGAACGTCTTCAC